TAAGAGAGAAATGAGAATTATGAAATGCACAGAGCAGTTAAAATCCCAAAAAACACATTTTTCAACCTCCCATGTATGTGTTGAGTTGGAAGAGAAGAGTAAAGGAATGTGTTTGTGAGAATGACAGACATGCACAGTATGTGAGCGTGACAGAGATTTGCATTGCCATGCTCCCTCCATTCCCTTCTCTCTGTGGAGAGTAGGAGTATAGGGTACAGGAGTGGGGGGAGGAGGGACACCCTGATATCAGCGCTCCCCTTCTCCCTCCCACATCCTGCACAGCAAGCAGAAGGCTCCCAAGGGGGAAGCTCCAAGGCAGATGGCAGGAGCAGCAGGGCAGTGAGTGGAGGGGCAACTGAAGTGCCAGTGCTTCCTAGCTTCCCAGCCAAAATCACCTGTCAGGCTCCAATATCTACCAGCAGAGCCCAAACTACGGGTTGGGGACCACTGCTGTAGAGGAACCCAAAACCTTTATTTCCTGTCTGCATTACACTTTGATTTATTATTTCAAGTGTAGCTGCACCCTTTACTCAGGGCAAAGATGTTTTCAGCCTGTTATGTCACGGGGAGAAATTAAATCTTCCTTGCACGAAAGCAGAAGGGGTTGCTTGAAAAACCTTTTGGGATCCTTGAAGGTGATAGATGCTATGTAAAAGATGATTTTTCCCTTTACATAAAGCCTTCTCTAAAAGAGGATAGCCAGCAATCTCACTCGCTAAGTGTATTCTTTTATCTGAAGAAGTGGGTTGTGCCCACGAAAGCTCATGATACCATTTGTGTGTTTTGTTAGTCTCTAAGGTGCTGCAAGACTATTTGTTGTTTCTTTAAAGTTTCTCTAAATGTATGTTACTTTTTAGTATCTTCCTAGAAGTTAAACTTATTTCTTCCTTTCCACCTCAAGAATGTTTTGTATACTGTACTCAAATTTAGTGGCTGAGATTGGAAGACGTTTGTTACAAGGCTTAAAAGTTGTGTTTAAACATTTTCATTTCTTTACTCAACTTTTGTATGTTAACATATTATAAGTATGACTGGCCCTGTCTTACCACATAAATGAGATCCCACTTATTTGACTGATTCCTGACAATAGTTCCAGTCCTGCCTTTCCATAGGGATGCCTGGGTTGACAAGAAATTGGCTGTTTTGTGTCTTAAATGTATAAAGACTTCTCTTTAACTTTTTTTATGCATTACTATTAAAATTCATGTTTCCTTACAAGGCATCAACCTCAAACTTGAGCCAGTTTAAAATCTAGTTAAAATGTACTTTCAGGACCCATACTTGCTGCAGAGTCCCATTACTATTTTTTTCTCGTTTTACAAGCACATTTTTCAAAATGTTAAAATAAGTGGTTCTTTTCCCAGTTCTGTGAAAACACCACACAACCAGAAAGGATCATTAAGACTCTTGTCCTACACTGTGATATGCATGGATCTCAGTGCTGGATTGACGTTTTAATGGCCTATACACACAACACAATGCACAAAATAAATTGAAGAAAAAAATTGTTCTCTAATCCCGTAAGTACTAGTAAACTTAGTTGGAATTGCCTGGGTCCATCTGGCAAGGGCCTGGATGATGTAGGAGGGGGTGCAGGAGGCTGGGGGCATGTTCTTTTCTCATTCTTCCTCCTCCCACCCCGGTTTCTTGGGGTCTGTTCCCTCTCCTTCCTCTTCCCCTTCTCCCCCAACAGGCTACCTGGGGCCTATTCTCTTCTCTCTCCTGCTCCCCCACTCCCCACACTGTGGCCAAGGGCTGAGGGGGGGGGGGAAAGGTTTGGGGCAGAGGGTCTACTTACCAGTTTGCTCAGAGGCAAGATGGCAGAACCCCAGCCCTGCTGGCCACTCTGGTGGTGGTACAGCTGCCCCCAGTGGATACTTTCCTATTGCATCCCTCCAAAAGCAGCCCCTCCCTTTCTGTTATGGAAAATTGTCCCTTTCCTGTGGCTTCTGGTTCTCCTGGCACAACCAAACCCTGACCTCTAGCTTTTACCATTTAGGAGTTCTTGAACAAATGGCTCAGACAGACGCACTCTAAATATATACTAGCAGACTTACCCTGTGTTGCCCAGATCCTTCAGGGGGCCTTGGGGATGTGAAGGGGATTGCTGGGAGCCCTGTTCTCTCCTCCTACCCCCCAGCCAGATGCACTCTAAAATAGATAGGTGGTTTCACTATAGCATAGCAAGTTAGGGATGTGAACGACTAGTTGACTATCCAATAAATATTTGCTTATTGGATAGTCAACAGACTAGTTGCTTCCCCCACCCCCCTTGCTGTCTCTATCAGAAAGAGACAGCAAAAGGGGGATGCTTCAAAGCAGCAACGCCAAGTGGATCCTGGGACCAGATCCAGGGCTCCATGTGGCGCTGCTGCTTTGAAATGCCGCATGCAGCCCAGGTCCAGCTGGGAGCCCGAGCTCCCCATGATGTTTCAAAGCGGCAGCACCACATGGAGCCCGGGGTCAGCGAGGGAGTCCCCCGCTGACCATGGGCTCTATGTGGCGTTGCTGCTTTGAAATGGTACAGGGAGCATAGGGCCAGCAGGGGACTGCTTGACTGGGGCTGTTGCTACACTTCAATGGCAGAAGTGCTCTTATTGACTAATTGACTAGTGAAATAATCAAAATTTTACATCAGACTAGCAAGTATATCTTGTGTATAAAAATGGTAAGTTAAAAATATTTCAGAAAAACGCAGGCCTTCTAAATTTTGCAAAATAATTCTTTGAGTTAATTTAAGTGAATTGCTGATATCAATAGGAAATGGCATTTGTTGGGTGAGGAACACCTTTTTTAATTGTACAATTATGGAAATGAGAGTGATTGTATGTTTGACTGTTTCTGGTATTTTTATGTCTCTTTGCTCAAAGAATATATGTTTGAATTGGATTATCATATTGAGTGGCACGCTGCTTTAAAAAAACAGAAGTGAACTGTAAAACTTTTGATTTAAAATGAAAATGTTTACTATTTAATTTAAATAATGATGCTACCAAAAAAACCAAAGGATATAACTTTTTGTTTAAAAATATTTTTGGAATATTGTCGCAGTATTGAATGTACTTTTGACTTAAATACTTGAACAGTTTGAAAAGTTATATTGTATTTGAGTCAGTTTTCATGTATTCTACTTAGAAATGGAGTTAAAACAGTATAAATAAGTTAAATTAACTGCTTTTTAACATACTTAGTTGATTAGGTATTCGTGTAACAGCTGAGAATCTTAGTGGTTACACACTGTGGGCTCTGCAGTATAGTTGACCTACTCCTGGGGAGCTGGCTATACTGCTGAGCCCACAGCACAAGTTTTATACTGCAGAGCCTGCAGCGTGGGGCAGCAGTTGGCTCCCTGGGAGCTGGTGCATGCTGGGAGTTGTCTTTCAAGCTGGCTCCTACCTGCTAGCCCGGCTGCTGCCCTGTCCTGCTGCCTTTGATACAGAGAAAGCAGCACAGAGCAGCAGCTGGCTCCCCAGGAGCAGGGCTGGGAGCTGGAGCGTAACCATTATGGTAACTGATAATCTCATGCTTATCAGTTAATCGTTTAAACAGTTATACTGTTGCATCCCTAAAATCAACTCAAATTTCAAAAATGTATGTTTAATCTGTTTACATTGTTGAGATTAAAGAGTGAGATTCTATGGTCCTCTGTCCAGCAGAGTGGAATAAAACCACAGAAACTGTACTATGAAATATATAATCACCATATGACATAATCACCATGTGATATATTGCACATTTAATTCTCATCTCAGAAAACTCACTACTGAAATCCAGGCCAAAAAAAGTATAGTGGTCAGTTTGAGGGAAAAGAAATGGTGGAACAGCACAATGGGAAGGAGATTGGAATGATGCCTTACAAACAGAATAAATTCGTCAGCCACAGGCAAGTCTGCCTCTTTTATTTTAAGTAATAAATCCCAATTGGCTGCATGTGTTAAACAGTTGTCTGCATGAAGGCTGTCTGAAGGCTGACTGATTAATTGTGTACTTGATAAAATCGTCTACTTGATAAAATTTGTAACAAGTACATGATTAGTTGATAAGGCAGTGGTCCCCAACCTTTCAAGGTTGCCGGGCGCCAGGGGGCGGGGCCGTTTGCCCGCCGGGCGCCAGGGGGTGGGGCCGTTTGCCCGCTGGGCGCCAGGGGGCGGGGACACTTGCACGCCCGGGGCGGCCCCACCCATAGCTGCATGCCCGGGGGCG